GGGGTGTCCCCCCGGGGGGGGGGGGGGGGGGGGGGTGTTGACACAGGGGTCACCTCCCTGAAATTGTGTTTTCTAGGTTGGGATCCCTGCCTACCCCTGACCTACAAGTTGGTGGCATTGTCAAGGTAACTTACTGGAGAGAACTCAAATTAAGTAGCTTTATACATCAAAGGTTATCACATACAGGTATATGACAAAGCCAGACCAAATAGCCACAAGCTGAAGAACCCCCACTTGACATGCTCTACTCATAGTTACATAAAACCTTTTAGGATTGTTTCCTGCAGTAGTGCAATCAGAGAAAGGCTGGCATTGTTAGATTTAGGGCCTGGGACAAATGGCATTTGTTCATGTCAGAACTGCTTCTCTTTGCATACAAGTCTATGGGAATGCAAAAGTAGCTTGAAGCAGATCAAATGCAGGTTAGAAGGAGGCCAACTGCATGTCATATGCATCTGTCAATGAATTCTAATGCCAATGAATTCTAAATGATTTCAGAAGCATCTCAAACTGATGACTAAAGAAAGCTGCAGCACAAAGCCCGTCAACACAGGCCCTTACCCTGCATACATTTTTGGGTTGGCCAATTATAGCGAACCTCTACTAGGATGTCAACACAAAACCCATATTAACAGTCATTTTGGGATGGAGTATTGGACTGGTTACAATTTTTGCTTTAGGTTCTTTTTAGTGCTGGCTACATGCCTGAAAGCCCAGACACATGTTCCTGTCATCTTTGTTGAACAGGAAGCATCAGAATATAGATTGGCTGTTCCTTCCCTTTATCAGAGATCACATTCCTGAAATAAAGAGAGGTGTGTAAAGTATAAAATGTAATCTTTAAAGTTAATATTGGTAGAACTGGCCAGTTAGGTATGTTCACACTAGCTAAGCACCAGAACTGGAGGAAAGCCAGAGCAACATTTTCTCCAGGAAAGGAACTTATTTCTACCTATCAACATATCCATCAAGACTATTAATATCGCTTTATGTTGATACTTGAGCAGTGGTCCACTTTATAGAATCTACATAACTGTACCTCTGGGTTCTTCACCTATATCAGTTCCTAGCAGGACATTGTCTAAAAGATGTTGGAGGAATTGCAGCTCTGACAAGAAAGAGGGGTAGTTTGTGGCAAGATGAAGACTTTTTGATGGCAGGTGCCCATTCCAGTTTCATTGAACTTTGGTCTAAATATCATCTTGATCCTGAATGTTATATTACCGCCCATACAATGACGCAAACAGATACAGTTAATTGGTGCTAAAACCTGCCTCCTTGTTTATGAGCTCCTCTGTACAATATATGGCATAGCAAAGATATAAAATCTTCAACTTAAAGATAACTCGACCATTGGAAAGGTTAAGTTGGCCAGATTTTGTCGAAACCAACTGGTTTTCTCTCAACAGATTGTGGAATGTTCTCTCCTGGTTTGATATCGTTTTGGTTTAACTCAAAGTTGTTTCTAGGTGGATGTTGGTCCATGCCATGCTGGTCTTCTGGGGAGTTTCGACCTATGTCTGAATTGCTTTGGTTCACTTTCAACAAACCCAATTTTTGCAAAGCCTCCTGCCTAGCAGATACATGACTACGAGCTGCCTGTGGTAGTAGTTTAGAAGACAGTGATGTTTCTTTGAAGGTCTCTTCTAAAGAAGAATTGCCTGGCTGGCGGACAAATCGAGCTCTTAGCTCTTGGACGTTCACTCCCGACCTCATTATGGTGTCAAACTTCCGAAGATGGCACGGGTGAGAGCTGGTTGACCTTTGCCCAGTGTCTGGAGAAACAGTAATGGAGAATCCTGGGCAGTCTTCAGAATAAGATTTCACGATCTTCATCCTGGATGGTGTGTGGCCAGCTTCTGCTTTCTCTGACAGCTTGACGCTTTCACTCAAACTTTTCAACTTTGTATTTCGATCTTGAAGGCCTGCCGTAGAATTTGTCAAGTGCTCGCCGGTATCTGGAGTACACAAAATAAAATATTAACTCTCAGGCAGTAATAATTTATTAACATGGATTTTATCAGCTTAGAAAATGGACCTCTAGTGAATACGTCTCCATAAAAAAATATGTTTAATTGGTATGGGGTCTGGTACCAGTCCCACCACACTTGCACAAGTTTTGTAAACAAGATTTCTGATCATTTTTTAGGATTTGATGGATGTGGCAGAAAATAAACAATTCTAAAATCAAAATCTGGGGCATCATTCCTCCAACTGACATTTTTCCAGTGCAGTTCATTTATACTTACCAAATACACAAAGCAACAAAGATATAATCTGCAATATATGAATACATTTTTAAAGTGACACTAAACTCAGGAGTTAAATCTAAAAAAATGCATTCAATTACTTTAACTATTAGGCTAGGTTCACACCTGGGCGACTCCTGACCACACGGCAATCGTGCACAAAACCATGCGAATTGGTTTCCCGCGTCGTAAGAAAAGGTACTTGTACCTCTTTTGAGCGATTGCCGCGCGGATGTCACCCCATTGAAATCAATGGGGCAGCGCGGCAACCGCTGTGTGCACTAGCACACGATCGCACAGCCCTGGGGCGCACGGCCTGGGTGTCACTGAGGTGTGAACCTAGCCTTAACAAAAATGTATCTTATTTGCGTAGCCCTCAGTTGAAGATCCTCAAATCATCTCTGAATTGGTGCTGACACTGTCCTTCCTTTTGGAGGGGGGCTACTTTTGTTCCCCATGGTCCCTGTGTGTGTTCTAAAGTAGCCACTGTCCCAAACTCGCTCCCGTGATGGACTACAATCTCATGTTAAGTTTACTAAATTGTATTGAGATTGTAGCCCATCATGTGAGCGAACTTGGAGCGGTGACTACTTTACAACAGAAGGAAGGACGGTGTCATCACCAATTCAGAGATGATTTGAGGATCTACAGTTGAGTCATACATAAGATCCATTTTTGTTAATAGTTAGGCTACATGAATGCATTTTTAAGATTTAACTCCTTAGTTGTCACATAAGAGTCTAGGAATTGAGGAATGCAAATGCTCTAGAAAAAAACAAAACAGTAAAAAAAAATGTATTATGTGACTACTTTGCCTCATTATCTATTCTTATTGTATCAACATAAATAATGGACCCCAAATCAAATGAACCCCTTAGGCTGTAATTCTGAACCTAGATTCAGACACAATTAAACTTAAAAAATGAACAACCTTTTTAATACAAGCAGCTAACACTGTTATGCCCAGATATTGGAATTACAATAAAGCACTTTCTCTTGGTGACAAAGTAGACAATTATTGCCTTATGGAAGAAAGGAAATCAAGATATACACCAACCTGACCAACCTGTATGTACAGCATAGGGGTTATCATAACCAGATATCTCAATGGCAGTTTAGAATTAACAGGTCTACAATACCAAAGTATTTTTTATAAGTGTTGTCCTCCAAGGAAGTGACCACAACGGACCACCATTACATTACAGATAGGTCTACTGCAGACCTCAACCTTAATGGCACCTTACTTTTTTCTTCCAAATGCTTTATCCAAAACCAAAATATCCCGGCGAGGTCACTATCTGCAAGGAGTTTGCATGTTCTCCCTGTGCTTGCGTGGGTTTCCTCCGGGTACTCCGGTTTCCTCCCACACTCCAAAGACATGCTGGAAGATTAAATGACTCCTGTCTAAGTTGGCCTTCGTATGTATGAATGTGCGATAGGGACCTTAGATTGTAAGCTCCTAGAGGGCAGGGACTGATGTGAATGTGCATTATGTAAAGGGCTGCGTAAATTGTCAGCGCTATATAAATACCAATAATAAATAAAATGCAGGTACAGGTGAAAAGATTTTCTATCCAAACATTTAAAAAACTGTATGTTGTACTCCTTTAAGTGTCACTGATGCCTAGAACATTAATAATTTTTCTAATGCACACAACCGGTCGTGGATATGCCTAAGCCTCTGATTTATAAGCCAATATGAAGTGCATTACACAGCTGCTGCTGAGATAGCGGTAGATAGGAGCGTAGGGTAATTAGCCGCTGCCCTAAAAATATTCCACAGGAGCATTCAAATTGTCAGGTAATACATATGACATCTGCTGCTTCGAGATGATTGTCTCATATTACTAGAGAGAGAACAAACCAGAGCTAAAGCACCTGCAGAGAAGCAGACCCGGAGGTACAATTGCATGATATAGACACAAGCTAATGAGAATCTTTATCTCTTACACAAAAATGCAAGGCCTGATAATGAAATACTTTATTCTTTTTTTTTTAAGGCATGCCGCGGCTTTTTTTTAAGTAGACATCTAAATTTGCAACCTTATTGGCTGTTATGGGGAACTTCTGCCTATGTAGGAGGGTCTTACCGTGGTCGCCATTTGCATTTTCATCCTCATCCTGGTCCAATGAATCAATGGTTTCTAATAAATACTGCAGACACTCCCTTTCTTCATCTGTAAGGCAGGATAGAAAGTCCTCCCCCTAACAAACAGGAAGATCAAATTGTCAGCCAGCGGGACCAACATTAAAGTCTAGTATAATGATGCTAATTATATACAGTACATAAGATAATGGTAGCATAACTCTTAGGTGAACACTAGTGTCCTAAAAGCTGAACTCCAGAGAAACAACTAAATACATAGATGAAATACATATAAGTGAACTGTCTTACCTGCCAAAGGATTTATTAATTTGTTCACCCAGTCTTGAGATACAGGATACCCTGACATGCAGCACAGCCTGGTCAGTGACCGCACTTTTCTACATTGCACTTTAAAGCAGCACTCCGGGCAAAAATGTTCTTAACCCTTGCAGTGGGGCTTCCCCTGCGCTACAAGTGTAAGTGTTCATTTTTGTCTATGTGCTAAAAAAAAAGTTATACTCACCCGATTTTCATAGCCAGCTTGCTCTTACATCGGTCCCTGAAGCCTCTCTACCCCTCCGCTGCAACAGCCTAAGGATCCTTGAGTTATCACGTTCTATACACAGTGTGAGGTGTGGTTTCTGAACGCTTCTCATGGGAAGATACCATGTGAGGACGCCGAAGGCTGTAGAGAGGGGGCGACAGGCTTTGGGGACCAGAGAAGCAGCCAGCAGGCTCCATGGTTCGGGTAAGTATTTTTTTTAGTACCTAGAAAAAATGTACTGTATATATATATGTATATACAGTATATATATA